GCAAGAAAAAAATCTTAAAAATTTTCTTATTCTTTTTTTTTTTTTCTTTGTTTGTTTTTCTTTTTTCCCTTTCTTCTTCCTCTCCCTTTCTTTTAACCTTCTGCAAACCCTAACTCTTAATATTAAATTCGAGAATAACACAACAAATTAACAGATTAAATTCAATATATACTTAACCCAACGGCTGCTGGGTTCGAATCGAAACGAAACCCAGAGCCTCACTTGGAGGAACCCAGCGGCTGCTCAAACCTAGCACCCGCTGGGTTTAAAATGAAACCCACTGCCTGCTGGGTTCGATTTCGAACCCAGCACCTGCAAAAACCTAGTGGCTAGTAGGTTTGAATTGAAAAATCGAACCCAGCACCTGCACAGTAACTCAGCAACTGCCTTGCCTTGCCTTCTTCATCTTCATCAATCAATTTTTCATCACAATCAAACAACAAATTCCAAAAAACAAAAACTTTTTTTAATTTTCTACAAACCCAGCACGCTTGGGTTCCTTGCGAACCCAGCCGCTGGGTTTGCAAGGAACCAAACCCAAGCGTACTTGCTGGGTTCGGTGCGAACCCAGGCAAGTGTCTTTGCGAACCTAGCACGCTTGGGTTCCTTCTGAACCCAAGCGCTGGGTTCGCAAGGAACCAAACCCAAGCGTGCTGGGTTCCACCGAACCCAGGCATGCTGGGTTCGGTGCGAACCCAAGCAAGCGTCCTTGCGAACCTAGCACGCTTGGCAGCGCCTGGGTGGGTTCGCAAGGAACCCAGGCCTGCTGGGTTTCGAAGGGAAAGAGAAGGGAAAGGGGAAGGGGAAGGAGAAAGAGAAAGGGGAAGGAGAAAGAGAAAGAAAAGAAAAAAAGATAAAAAAAAAAATTAAGTTTTATTTTTTTAAATATTTTTTTTATATTATTATTTTTTCCACATCACCACTTTTTGACTATATTATCTTCCACGTGGATTACTACATGACATGTCATCTGATAACCGTGAAGTAACAGGCCATGTCACACAATTTTTAACATAAGGACCAAATTGGGGTAAAAATGGTAAACAGTAGGGATCAAATCAAGGATTTTTTTAGTTCAGGGACCAAATCGAGGGTCCATACAATAGTTCAGGGACCAAAAAAGGATTTTAACCAAAAACAAACTAGGAAATAAGAAATTTACGAAGAATTAATTACTCATTAAGTTTCATAGAATCAAGTATTAGTTAATAATATAAAAAACAAATTTCTTACTAATTAAATCATAATTCTTAAATATGATAACTGGTTATTGGTAATGTGTTAATAAAAATTTTCTAGTTCGGGATAAATTTTACAGTGAGTGACTTGGAGCCACGTAGGACACTAGAGTAGGTTTAGT